ATGTCAGACCTCACGCCCGAGCAACTTGAGATTGTGATCTCGACGCGCTGGGTCAAGACGAGAAAGTCTGACGGAACTAGTCGCTGTCGCATTGATGTGCGCGGGTAAGATCAGGTTTTTTTTCCATCCTGATGAACCTTACGCGTCCACGCCTAGTTTATTGACGTTGAAGACTTTGCTCACGTTGGCTATTGCGCGTGGTTGGCGTGTGACTTTGGCAGACATCTGCGCGGCCTTCCTTCATGCACTTATGGAAGGAGATGTCCGGGTACTTCCGCCAGTGGAGTACTATCCAGAAGGAAGTGTTGTTTGGAAACGTAAACGTGCTCTTTACGGTCCAAAAAATGCGCCCAACCTTTGCAACAGCACCTCGCTGCCACACTTGAGTCGCAAGGATTTAGGCGTATGAAAAGTGACCCTAACTTGTACTACAAGGCTGCGCGTAAGGTGTGCAGTCTTTGCTACTGGTGACAAGAAGGCCATTGCGGACGTGGTTGCGTCACTTCAGAAGGAGCTTCTCCTGCGTGTGACTGGTGAGCTTTCCGAGGACCAAGAGGCTATTTTCCTCGGACGCCTAATGCAGCGAACCTCAACTTCCGTTGAGATGTTCATGGAAACTTCACACATTGATTGCATCCTTGAGCAGGCCAGCGGGAAGACTTGCAGGGCTGCGCCGACTCCAGGCACTGATGCCTTGAAGAAAGGCAAGGCCAAACTTGCCGAGGCACTTTTGCCTGAGGAGCATCAGCAGTGTCGCAAGCCTGTTGGTCAACTTCTTGGGTTGTGCAACTTGCGTATGGACGTCATGTGTGCGGTTAGGGAGTTGTCTCGCGGAATTGCCGCACCGACCATGGATCAGCGGGCGAAGCGTAAGCACTTGCTTCGGTGCTTGGGTGGCTCCAAGAACTACGCGCAGGAGATCTGCCCAAAACTTCGCCTGTCGGAGAAGCGTTCCTCGTTGGATGTTCAGAGTTACGTGGGCAACGATTGGGCTGGTGATCCTAACACGGGGCACTCCACTTCGGGAGTTGCCACTTACTTGTTGGGAGTGAATTTGCAGTCGAATTCCCGCACGCAGCAAACGATCGGACTTTCGCGCCGTGAAGCTGAGCTTTACGCGATCGGTGCTGGAGCGGTGGATTCACTTGTCATTCGTTAGCTTTGGCTTGAGGCTTGCTTGGGTTCCGAAGGTTCAATTGTTCATTCATGCGGACAGCACGGCCGGTAAGAGCATGGCATCTCGGTACAGGACCTCGCGTAAGACAGCTCCGGTACATGTTTGTCCAAGAGCTTGTGACTTCTGGCATGATCACTATCGGTAAGGTCTTGGGAACCCTCGGAATAAAGCTGATGTACTTACCAAGCATGGCAACAAAAAAACATTGGCGAGGCATGTTCCCACTTTTGGCCTTAGGCCAAGTGGTTTCAACTGAATCGGTAGTACTTGAGTATGTGTACGTGTCACAGACCTTGTACATGCTGTTTTCCCTTGAGCCCAATCTTGTCTTTGTTTCCTCCTCTCAACGAGACTTAGGTTCCCTTAACGCAAAGCGTTTTGCACGAGCCAAACTTGTACAGTTTTCCGCCTTAAGAAACCTTGTTTTGCAGTCATGTCAGTCACTTGCATGTATATAGACTTGAGGTCTTCAGGGTTGTG